TGGGGGCGGGGGCGACCGGGCCGAGCCGCGCGAGGGCCGCGGGGACGGCAGAGCCCCTCACCCCATCAGGGCCCTGCAGATCCCCAGGGCCTGACTCAGGGCCTTGGGAGCCCAGACACTCCAGCGCTGTCCAGCCACCCCCACGGAGCCAGCCCGGGAGGCCGAGGGCGGGCAGTGGAGGGGGCGCCCCTGAGTAAGGCTGGCTTTTCCTGTCTCACTCTGCCGCGAAGTCCCCCACCCTCCCACCCCCGTGGGTCCCAAATTCCCAAACATCGCCTCCTAGTGGGAGAGGGGATCCAGGTCAGTAACCTGGGGCGTCAGGCCCCTCCCCTTGGGCCCACCTCCTCTCCAGGGAGCCCCAGGATGGGACCCCAGGGTGCAGGCTAGGCAGCTGGGGAGGGGAGAAGGGCAGCAGGGACAGGTGGTAACACCCGGTGGGGACAAGGACAGCCCCCTGCCTGGCTGTGACACCAGAGGGAAATGAGGTTTCGCCCGCCCAGCACAGAGCGGGGCTGAGCCCTGGACAGGCTCCCTCCTGCCCTGCTGACAGTGGGACTCAGGAAGTCTGCCCTTCCTTGTGGCCCCCTTCCTTCGCCTCAGTGCTCAGACCACAGGAGCCTGACACCCCAGCTTTCCCTCCCCCCCCCAGTGCCACCTGTGCCCCACACTGAGCACACCTGCCTGCACCAGCAGTGCCTCCCCGGGGCCCACCCCAGAGCTGGCCCTGACCAGTCGGGGCCCCCTTGCCCCCAAACCAGGCCCACACCTGCAGCCCCTACTGGGACAGAACAGGAGGATAGGAAGGACCACCCCCAGCAGGGGACACTGTCACGCCAAGGAGAGGCCCAAAACCCGGGTGGTGTCTAAGGAAAGTGGTCCCAGAGGGCAGCCTTACCTGGGCTCCACCACCCGTGCCCTGACTCCTCCCTGCTGTGTATGCACAGCCTGGGCAGCCGCGAGGGAGCGTGACCTGTGAGAGGCCTGGGGACATGCAGGAGGCCGGTGGGGGATGGGGGAGCCAGCGCCCCTGACCTGCACAGGCCCACCCCCAGTGGCCACAGCATTGCAGACCTGCGGCTCTGGGCTAGGATTTACAGTATTCCTGGGAAGTTTCCCCACCCCACCCTAGCGATCCGGTGTGCAGCCAGCAGCCAGGCCTCAGGGAGCGTTGGCAGATATTCCAGACCCGGACGGACCCTCTAGGCAGCGCCCACACCTGAGAACGCAAGCACCCATCATGGCCCTCCCTGTGTACCTCACAGAGTGCCAGGCACATGCACTCGGATGGAACTCACAGCCAAGGAGGCTGACGTCCAGGGCCGCCCCAGGCCCCGGCTGGCTGGGTCTCAGCTCTGCCCACTGACGCCGTCTGCAAGCTCCCACTGCTTTGCCAGGTCCTAAAAGCAGCCAGGGAGGGGTCTGGCCCAGATACTGCCCACCCCTGCTTCCTGGAACCATGGGTGCCTCCAGGCGCCTCCTGCCCCTGGGGCCGGACGGTGCTGCCCTCCTGGAGCCCCACCTGGCTGTTGGTGGCTGGTAGAGGTGACTGGGGGCTGGGGGAGCCTCCCCACGGTAGGTAGGCCGTGGCAGAGCGGCCGAGATGGGCAAGCAGCGTGAGGCCAAGGGCGACTCCACCAGAGGCCCGGGCTGGAGGGGTCCTGCAGGGGGCTCATAGGCCGTGTTGTGTGCCCAGGCCACTGGAGAAGGCTGCCCCACCGAGACGCAGGCCATGTGGGGCTCCCAGGGGCTGCTGCTCCTGTCTCTGGCGCTGGCGGCAGGTGGCACCGAGCACGTCTACCGACCTGGGTGAGCCAGGACTTGGGCCATCGGGTGCCGGGGGACAGGGTAAGGGCCAGGAGCCAGCCCTGGGGGCGGTTCGCTTATGGGACTTGCACAAGGTAACAGTGGGGAGCCCTTTCCCCCATTTTTGACTTCTTTGGGTTGGTCCCGGTGCTGGGGCCCCGGCTGACCCTTAGCGTACCCCACCCACAGCCGCGGGGTGTGTGCCGTTGGGGTCACAGGGGGACCCGTCTCGGAGTCCTTCATGCAGCGTGTGTACCAGCCTTTCCTGACCACCTGTGATGGGCACCGGGCCTGCAGCACCTACAGGTGAGGGCCCCGTCCCCAGGACCTCAGGGTGGCAAACCGGGCCTGAGGGGGCAGTGGCCCTGAAGTGGGGTAGGGAGAGGTACGCATCCTGGCGGGCAGCCTGAGCACTGGCTACGTGGCCACCCAGCGCTGGTCTGCATCCTCAGTCCTGGTGCCTTCTGAAGGCTGGTCCTCCTCTGGCACCCCCATTTCGGTGGGACCCCATCCTTCCCTCCACCTCTGGGTACTCACGCCACAAGTCCTCCCCCAGCGGACGTGGTGCCTGACCCCGACACTTCCTCGGGTGTCCTGCCCCGTCCCTGGACTCCGGCACCCTTCCCCACAATAATGCCGACAGGCACAGATGGTGACCCCAAGGTGTCCCAACAGCCTCATGTGCTGGTGTGAGGGGCCCATGGCCCCAGCTCTTAAATGCAGGGAGCCCAGCCTCGCTTGAGGTGGGGCTGGGCTGGGGTGGAGCCCAGGCTGGAGGAGGAGGACACGACCCAGGGCACCATCTGGCTGCAGCTGGCTCCAGGGACTGCTCCCCGCTAGACCCAGCTGCTCTGACAGGAGGCTGATGGGTTTGCGAGTACATAGGCCTGGGCACTGCCGCTGCCCCATGCCAGGCACAGCCAGGGCCTCCCACCCACCCAGGGCCCCGGTCAACACCAGATGCCCTGTGGGGACAGCTTGTGTGACTCTGCAGTGCTGTCCCCGGGGGTCACTCCTCTAGGGGAGGGGTGGCCTTGTCTGTGATGGCTCTGGGTGCCCAGAAGCTGGCAGGAGGGTGGGGTGCCCATGTCCACGTCTGGAGAGAGCCCAGGCCCCTGGTGCACTGGGCCCCTCTGAGCCAGCCTCCACCCACAGAACCATCTACAAGACCGCCTACCGCCGCAGCCCTGGGCTAGCCCCCACCAGGCCCCGCTATGCCTGCTGCCCTGGCTGGAAGAGGACCGAAAGGCCCCCGGGGACCTGCAGAGCAGGTGAGGGCCACCCTACGAAGCACCCCCACCTTCCCACTGTCCCTGAACCTGGTCCCTTCTTGTGGCAGAGCACCCCTCCCTCCTCGGGGACCCTCCTGAGTGGGTGATGGGCATCTCCCCACAGCACCATGCCAGCCGCCCTGCCAGAACGGAGGGAGTTGTGTCCACCCAGGTCATTGCCGCTGCCCTGCAGGATGGCAGGGGGATGCCTGCCAGGAAGGTGAGGCTGGCTCCGCCCTCCCACTGGGCCTGGGGGTGTTGTGGGCTCTGGGGAGCTCCCTGACGGGTGGGCCTAGGAGCTAGCATGGGCACTACCCCACTCTGCCCTCTGACCCCACTCCCTGCAGACGTGGACGAGTGTCACACCTGGGGTGGTGGCTGTCCCCAGCGCTGCATCAACACCGCAGGCAGCTTTTGGTGCCAATGCTGGGAGGGGCACAGCCCATCTGCAGATGGGACATTCTGCCTGCCCACTGGAGGGCCCCACAGGGTGGCCCCAAGCCCCACAGCAGGTAAGCCCAACCTCTAGCCTCCCTGATTCGGGCAGCAGCATGGCAGGGAGCACCATGCCCTCTAAGGGCCTTCGGGGCGTCCTGGGGCCACACTCCAGCCTGAGGAGGGAGCCCTGGGGGGAGCTGCCTGGGGGGGCCTCACTCGGCCAAGAAGATGGAAGGACCCCACGCCAGAGTCCTGCCTCGTCCCAGCTCCGGCAGCCTGCAGACTCCGGCCTCCGCTGGTGACGGGCCATTATTACTTTTGGTACGCGCTGTGACACTTCAAACTCGTACCGTGAGTAATAATGCGCCGTCGGCAGCCCGACAGCAGGCGCGCAGCACGGACCTCGGCACGGCCCGCCCCGCGCAGCAGGACCTGCACCCAGGGGCAGGGCTGCTTTCACCTGGAGCCCCGGGGCCCACAGCCCGAGCCCTGCGGGCCAGCCCTGGTGGACAGCTGGGCTGCCCAGGCCTGGGCCTGACCTCCTGGGCTCTGTCCCAACACTGGAGCGGGACCCCAAGAGTGGGTGGGGGGCATGGGGGGTGGGGAGCTGCCCGTCCTGACTCAGCCCCTGGGTCTGCCCCCAGGAATGGACAGTGCAGTGAAGGAGGAGGTGGAGAGGCTGCGGTCAAGGGTGGACGTGCTGGAGCAGGTGCGGCTGTGTGTGGGGGAGTCCCCGGGCCTCTTGCCAACAGCAGAAGCTGGCAGGGGTGAGGCCTACAGCCTTCTGGGCCTGATTTGCACCCTGGGGATGATTGGGGGTCCACAGGGTGTGTATGGAGGCTTCTCTGCCACTCCCCAGCCCAGGCAGGTGCTGACCACAGATCGAGCCCACCCAGGACAGTGCTCCTGCCAGTCTGGGCGACCCCTCAGAAGGTCCAGTTTGCCGATTGGCACCACAGGGCAAGGCTGCTGGGTCCGTCCAGTCCATCTGAACCTGAGGCCTCTGGGCTCATGCAAGAGCTCCCTCTAGTGGATGTCTGGAGCCCTGCAGCTGCAGGTCCCTCTCGCGTCCTGGGCGAAGGCTGGCCCAGGCTCTCACAGGCCCTGCCCACCCGCTGGCCCCTACAGCAGCTGCAGCTGGCGCTGGCTCCACTGCACAGCCTGGCCTTGCGCGCCTCAGAGCACGGGCTCCCGGACCCAGGCAGCCTCCTGGCCCACTCCTTCCAGCAGCTGGACCGCATTGACTCCCTGAGTGAGCAGATCTCCTTCCTGGAGGAGCAGCTGGGGTCCTGTGAGTGCCCACCGCCCAGCCAGGGCTCCCTGGGGGCCCCCACGCTGACGGACAGCTGAGGCGGAGCTGGACAGTGGAGGGAGACGTGACCTCTGACCTCACCTCTGCACCCCCTAGGCACATGCAAGGAGCGGTGACTGGCCTGGCCCAGGCCCCATCTCTGGCCATGGAGAGCCTAAGGACCCATCCGATCGGCCAGCCCAGGCTGGACAGAGCCAGCCCCTCTGCCCCGACCCCTCCCAGAGGCCACAGCCAGCCTGCCTCAGTGGAAGGTCGGGAAGGGCCTCACCCAGTCTCTTCGAACTCAAGAGGTTCCTGGGACTCAAGCACGGAGTAGGGACGGGGTCCTGCGTGACTGGCCTTGCCGGGGGTTCTCCAGGGCATGGCGTGAGGCTGGAAGACAATATGGGCTGCCCTCCCTCTCTGTTAGAATAAAAATGACACCTGGGCCGCTGTCAGTGTGTCAACTGAGGGGCCGGGCACAGGGCAGTGTCCCCACCTGCTGGTGTCCTCGTGGGCCCAGTACTCGTGCAGGCTGGGGAGGGGAGGGTGGCCCATCGGGCAGGGAGTGGGGCTCTGGGGACGGGGGGGGGTGGCTGCTGAAACAAGCAGCCCCACCCCAGCCGGAGGTCAAAGGTCACCCTCTGGCTCCCTACTCCCCAACCCAGTGTCACGTACCTATCCTGGGAGGGGGCAGTGGCAGAAGGGGTCCTGTGGAGGCGAGGTGCACCCGGCGGAGGCCTGAGGCTCTGTCCCCCAGTAAGTGACCACAGCACACCAGGCTCTCGAGAGTTGGTTTATAAAAGTCGTGAGCTGCCCACAGCCAGCCCTTGAGGGCAGCGGGGCCGGCGGCCCATTCTGGGCCTGGTCCCCAGAGCCTCTCCTCGCCCTGAGCCTGATGCAGGCCATGGCCTAGACCTGACTGCACCGGGCAGGCCTGGGCAGCAGGACCAAAGCTGGGCCTGGTGGGAGCGCCGGGCGCGGGTCCCAGCCGTCCTGAGGCCCTGGGCTCAGCCCACCTGCAGGCCACAGCCTCGGCCTGCTCCTCTAGTGCCAGATCCTGGAAGCCGGGGACTGGCACTCCCTGAGGGACCGGGGCCCGCGGTTGTGTCCTGCTCCCGGGGCCCGAGTGAGAGCCGGGGAGCCAGGGAGCTGCGCTCTGTGATATTTGGCAGCTGGGTGAGGGGCCCCTCTGCCCCTCTCTAGCCTCCGCCTCCCACCTTGCCCACCCGGGTCCTGACCCCATGTGGCCTGGGCTACTGGGCTGACTGCGTGACAGGCCCCGCGACAGCTCCGTTCTCCTGGGGCCGCTTGGAAATGTGGAGGAAGGTGCGCCTCATGGCCTGGTGGCAGGTGTCCACGAGCTGAGGCACGTCTGCCACAGAGAGGCCACGCGTGGGGATGGGGTCCAGTACCCGCACCTTGACCGTTCCTGCAGTGGGGACAGTGGGCGTCACACCCCAGCCTCCCCGCTCCCCGGCCACCTGCTGCCTCTCCCCTGCGCGTCCTCCTGGGCCAGTCCGGCCTTGGCGGGTTTGCTCGGGGTGGGACGCACAGCTCTCGGGCAATACCCAGGTTCCGATGTGGGTACCCTGCCTGGAGTCCGGGCAGCCCTCGGCCCAGGTGGGGAGTCCAGCAGTGGCAGAGCCTTGCTCGGGTCGCCAGCTGTGAGCACGGCCGAGCCTGCCTGCATGAACTCGGGCTTCCCCATCACCATGCCCTGGGCACTCCTGTGGGCCGAGACCCTCAGAGACCACCCGAAAGGAGGGTCCAGGGGCCCCAAGGCTGGCTAGGCAGCGTGGAGCGGCCCTACCTGTGGTGAAGAGCTGCGTCTTGGTGTCGTAGAAGGAGGAGAAGGAGGAGTACACCACAGGGATGATTGGCACCTGGGGCAGGGAGACGGCGGCCTGAGGGAGGCAGCTCCCAGGGGCTCACTGCCAAGCCCGTGGCACCAGCCCTCATGGCACCCCGTCTCAGGCCGCAAACGTGCTGACGCCAGCCCTCACGGCACCCCGGCACCCCGTCTCAGGCCGCAAACGTGCTGACCCCTTGGCCTGGAGCCCCATCCTGCCCTGGGGGGCCCAGCGGTCGTAAACATAGCCCATACAGCTTTACTGGAACATCATTTCCCCCAGGAAGCCTTCGGGGCTAGCAGTGTGTTTCTATAACTCATGGCTGTCCTCCCAACTGGGTCACAAAACTAGCCAGGGGACAGGACCCTGTCCTATTTAGCTAGGGGAGGGGGCGGGGCCTGCTGCCATTCCTGGAAGATACCAGGGTCAAATCCAAGGTAACAGTGACACATGGGGTAATCATTAACCTGCGCTCAGGGGCCGGGGAGGGAAGCACCAGCCGGGCCACAGATCTGCAGGCCCTGAGGGGGCAAGGGAGTAGCATCAGCTGCCTCTCTCTAATCCCCTACCGCTACGCAGATCTGCAGGCCCAGAGGGGGCCAGGGAGTAGCCTCAGCTGCCTCTCTCTAATCCCCTACCGCTACCCACAGGCAAAGGGCCCTGGTCAGCCCAGGCCCTAGGCAGGTGGCCGCCCTCCGTTGTCTGGCCGCCCTCCGTTGTCAGAGCCTGGGTCAGAGCCTGGGACTCCATGGCATTCTCAGGGAGCCCCCAGGGAGGGGGCTCACAGCCTTGCACAGGGCTGGGACAGGACACTGGTCACAAGGGAGGGGGCAGGAGAGAGGCTGTGACCCTTGCCCTGCTACAACCCAGTCAGGAGGGTGACACCCCTGCCCCGACCCAAGATGGCGGCTTCCCTTGACAAATACCCCCCAGCTGAGAGGCAGGAGTGGGAGCGGGGAGCTCTTCCTCTGCCAGGAGACCCCACACCATGGACGGTACACCCCCACCTCCCTTCCCAGACACCCCTGGAGGCCAAGGGCCAGACAAGCCCAAAGTCCAGAGATGGAGCTGGTGGGGCCCCACCTGAGCCCCAGGCCTGCCCCCGCGCCCTGCCTGGTGAGCGCCCAGCGCCTCTGGCTTGACTGCAGGAGCCAGTGTCCACGGCCAGGCGGGAGAGGGGCCAGGAGGGGGCCAGGAGGTCCCTGATGCCAGCAGCCCCCAGTCTGGCTTCCACCTGGGCCAACCTGGGCCACCCTCTCCCCCACCTAGGCCCCAGCCCAGGGCAGGAGGGCGGCCCCACCTACCTGGGCCTGCACTGCCAGGTAGAAGGCACCCTTCTTAAAAGGCAGCAGGTCCCCGTTGTCGTTGCGGGTGCCCTCAGGGTAGATCCACACTTTGAGCTGTGGAGAGAGCAAGCTGTCTGGGCTGCACCGGGCCGGGCCCAGCCCCACAGACAGGCACCAGGAGGAGGCGCGGCCCGGCACTCACGTTCTCACGGACCATGCGCTTGCCCAGGTCAGCCATCACCGTCATGGCGGTGGAGGAGCGCTGCCGGTTGATGAAGAAGACGCCCCCGAGGTACATGATGAGGCCCACGGGCCCGAGGAAGAGCAGCTCCCGCTTGGCGATCTGTACGCAGCGCTGGGGGAGGATCTCCATGAGGCCTGAGCAGCCAGCAGTGAGGGAGACAGAGACGGAGAGACAGGCAGTGAGACCGAGTCAGAGAGAGTGGGAGACAGGGAATGATAGAGATACAGGAAGAGAATGAGACGAGAGAATGGGGCAGAGAAAATGACAGAGAGGAGACAGAGCGAGACAGGTGACAGAATGACAGAGAGCAGGGGCAGCCTGAGCAGCCAGCCAGGCCCTCCCCAAGGAGGGGGCCAGCCCCAAGCCATAACTGAGCAGAAGGCCTAGCCAGAGCCGTGCCTCCCCAGGGTTCCCTGGTGGCCCCATGGCCTCGGAGCTCTGTCCCTGACTCCCAGCACAGCGGCTCGAGGGAGGCCAAGGCTGCAGGGTATACAGTCCCCCTCCCAGTTCAAGAACGCCACTGCCCTGGGCCACCAGCTCAGCCGTGGCCCCCGCTGCCTCCCCCAGCCAGGCCGGCCCACCCATCATGTCCAGGATGCTCTGGTGGTTGGAGACGATGACGCAGGGCTGGTCCACCTCCAGCTTCTGCCGGCCCTTCACCTCGAAGCGCAGGCCAAACACGTACTTGAAGCTCCGCACGAGCCAGCTGATGATGCTGGGGGAGAGGCGGCCATGAGCGGCGGGCCCTCTGCCTGGGGGGCAGCCAACCGCTAGCCAGAGACGGGATGACAGAGACAGAGAGACAGGGCAGGGGGGACCCGGGGGCCCGCCTGGCCCTCACCACACCCCTTCTCCCAGAGGGTGAGCCTAGCAGCCGAGGGGGGCACAGCTGTTAGGGGCTGGGTGAAGATGCAGGGGGAGAGAGGCCCATGTCTGCAAGGCCCCGGGAGGAGGGCGCCCATGGCCAGGGAGGGCTATAGCAAGGAGACAGCGCCACCTCTGCCAGGAGCCAAGGAGGGGGAGAGGCTAGAGGAGGGGAGAGGCTGAAGCAGGGGAGAAGCTGAAAGGAGGGAGAGCCTGAATGGGGAGAGAGGCTAAGGGCACACCCAGCAGGCACTGCTGCCACTCCTTGGCCCATGCAACGGAGCATGAAGTGGTGAGAGCGTCTCCCCCAGCCAGCCAGCCAGGAGCAGGGCTGGGCAGCATGGCCTGGTCTCCACACCCTGACCTGGCAGCCCTGCCCCTAGCAGGTGCTCAGGCCCACTGTGGGGCCAACCTGGGCACCCAAGGACTTGAGGCAGCCTCCTCCAGGAGTCCCAAGGGCACCTGCTCTAACCCTGCACAGATATGGTACTGCAGGGGTGAGTTGGGCCAGGGGAACAAGCAAGGGACTGTGGCCCAGCTGCTCTGCTGAGGAAGCTCTACACGCTGCAGGTACACGGAGCAGGTACACGCTACAGGGTGCACACTGCGGACAAACACTGCAGGTACACGCTGAGGAATGCACGTTGCGGGTACACACTGAGGAGTGCACGCTGCGGGTACACGCTGGTGTGAGCTCACGCTCCTGGGTCTGAAAGCCACTTTCCCAGCCTGTCCAACTCACTCCCCGCGTTGCAGACAGGGAAGCTAAGGCCTCCTTAGACCTGCTAGCCTCAGCCACCTCAGGGCATCTCCTCTCCGGGCCAGACCGGGAGGACAGAGCGGCTGTTCCACTTCCACGCTGTTTTCTTGTCTGCAAACGCAGCTCGTCGGCCAACCATGAGGACCAGAGACAGGCGGCACGCGGCACATCTCGTGGAAGGGGACGGCGTGATCCTGCCAGCCAGCAGAGAACTGCAAGCGGAACTAGACACCCAGCGGTCATGCTTCGCGTCAGCACAGGGGACCAGACTCAGAGTGAGAGGTGCTGGCTAGGACGTCACTGCTGCAGGAGCGGGAGGCCACATGCAGACTCTGGAGGGCAGGTTGGTGGCACCTGGCAAAGGCTTTGATGGTGCACCCCCACCAGGACCTCACCTTGAGGAGCCGTTAGAGGCCTGCGGGACCTCCAGAGTGGCCTGACCTAGCAAAACCTGAGAGCACTCGATGGCCGCCAGTTAGGGACAGGCAGGTGATCAGGCTGCACCCAGAGCCCGAGGCAGAGGGAGACACGAGGACCTGGGCTCAGGTAGGAGTAGTTCCCAGCTAGGGACAGAGACCCACGCCTGCATAGACGGTGCCCTCCGGGCCCGGAGCTAGTCAGTTCGCTGCTTCTCTGATCTTCCCTCAAGTTGGCCTATGTCCTCCATGAGCGAGGGTGATACAGAGGACAGAGACCCTAAAGGGTCTGGACGCCACGATCCTCCTTGGCCTCCGCCAGCCCCGGAGCCTGGGCCCGCGCACCTGCCACATTCAGGAAGGCTTGTCACCAGCCCAGAACCTTCCGTGGGCCAGCCTCACTGGGTGTCTGTCCCTCCGCTCCCCACCCACCACCCCTTCTGTATTTTCTTTGAGAGATTTTTGCTATAAGGCACGTGTGCTCGCTGGAGAGAGAGAGACAGAGACAGACAGACAGTGAGAAGTCTCCCCTCAGGGGGATGGCCATGCTGCAATGCCTTCTTTAGTCTCTCGGGATTTGGGGCACACACGCACACGTGCACAGCTGATTCTGTCACCAGTTCTGAGTCTCGAACCACGGTTAACTACATGAGCGTCAAAGGCCGTAACCTTTGTTTTTTTTTTTTTGACCCCTTCTTTTTTACTGTAGCAAAATGCACCTACCAATACTGTGTGGCTGTGGCCACCAGCGAGGGCACTGCGTGCGGCTTCCACCGCGGCCCCTGCCACCTGACCAAACCGGATTTGCTTTGGTATCTGGACTTCCCAAGTGAAGGGGCTGATCACAGCGGCCGAGGAGCCCAGACCCAAAGGCTGAGGGTCGGGGGTGCCTTGGATTTGGGAGTGGCCAGGTTTTGTGCGTATGCGCTATCTTAGGGCTAGACCCAAGTCCAAACCTGAAATTCGTTGTGACCGATCCGCACTTTCACACAGCCTGAGAGCAACCGTACAGGGTATCTCTGTGGCATTGTACTGGGACCTGTCACATGAGGCCACATGCGGGAGTTCCAGCTAATGGCACCATGCCAGTGCTCAAAGCCGGGATTCTGGGCACCTGGGCGTTGAGGTCAGGATGCTCGGCCCGCACCGCTACTGCTACTTTCTAGGGTTAGTTTTGGACAGGGAAGGAAGCGGTGTGGGATCAGCCCACAGGCAGCGTGGGTGGGCGTGCTCTCGACGCCTGCTGCTGCCCCCACCACCCCAGTCCCAGGGGCAGCACCTCCCCATGGCTTTGCAGACTGCTGCAGCGGCCAGCATGTGTGGCTGGAGGGGAGAGAGGTGGGTCCTGGGAATGGAGAAAAGATCACGGAAATGCCCTCATGGGACAAGCCACCACCTGCAGGCAGCCTCCAGGTCTTCCTCCCGATGGCCTATATTTTCACGGGGTTCCGTAGAAGTGGTGGGTGGGTACATGCTTGCATGTTAAGAGCGTTCCTTCAAAGCAGAAGGATGCACACTCCACAGAGCCCCACAGCCAGCGGACACCTGGGGCCCAGGTCGAGAAAGACCCTCCTCGCCACCGAGGTGGGAATGGGACCCCTCCCACCCTGCCTGACAATGGCAGAACACACCCGCTAAGGGCCAACCCAGTCCTGTCCTGTCCTGAGTGACCACAGGTGGGGGTCACTGCACCTGCTTGAGATGACCTGGAGGCTGCCAAGGTGAAGTGGCCCGAGGTCACACAGGGGAAGCCAGGGTCTGAGCCCACCTCTCAACCCCGCTTCTGTGCTGGGGCAAATACAGGCCGTCCTGAGCACTCGCTCCCTGCCCTGGGGGTCTGGGGTCTGCAGGTCCAACCTGGCCAGCCTCCTCCACACCTGGTCAGGCAGGTGTGCTGTGGGTCCTGGCTCCCACCCTCTGGCTATGACCTCGGCAGGCTTGGCTTCTCCAAGCTGCTTGTGAGGTGGGAAGGGTGCGGAGGGCTGTGTTGGGTTGGGCTGGGACCACCCCCACCTCCGCAGTGATTGCCAAGGTTCTGATCCAGGTGGAGACAAAGAATCCAAATTAATACAAGCACAAGGCTCTGACTCTCCTGTGCCCCACCTGGCCAGCCTCTGCTCCCAGCAGCCGAGGAGGTTCAAGGCCAACGCCAGGCTACTACCCGCTGACCCTTGCCCTCAGTTCCCGGTCTCGGGCTGGGCTGCTCCCGGGAGCCCTGGTGCTTGCCAGTCCTCTGCCGGAGTCCATGGGCCAGGCTGGCTCTAAGAGTCATCAGCGGAGCCGGGGACACAGGCCCCCACAAGGCTCTCTGGCAGGGCAGGCAGTTTTCCGGTGCCTGTCACATGGGCTGCACATGGGAACAGGCACCGGGGGTGCTTCCAGCCTGTGCAGACGCCAGTGGGAGAGGGGACGTGCATGTGGCAGGCGAACACCAGGGCTGCAAGGAGCAGGGCCAGAGCTTCCCACCTGGCAGTGCGGGACGGCAGTCTGGCTCTCTCTTCCTAGCTCTGGGCCTCAGAGCCGGCTGGAGGCCCAAATCTGCCCTGCTTTGCCCCGAAACAGGCAGACTCCCTTAGGCCCAGGCCAGACAGTGCTCAGGGGGTGATCCTGCCTGATCCTGCCTGCACTGTGTCCCCAGCCATGCCTGTCAGGGGCCCGGAGGGGGCAGGTGCTGGTCAGCGGAGAGCACCCCCTAGCCGCTGTGAGCTGTCCTGCGAGGGCCTAGACATGCCAGGAGCCCCCCTGCAGCTCAGCCCTGCAGGAGCAGCCTGTCCTCTCCTGCAAAGGCGGCATCCCCCTGCAGATGGTAGCAGGGCCAGAGGCCAGAGGGGCCAGAAGCCCTGCGGCACCAGGCTGCCCAGCGGCAGTCTCCTGGCACACAAAAAAGCACACGTCTGTCAGTTAAGCTGTTGACAGGGTTCCCTAATCCTGCAGCTGAACCTGATTCTCCAACTGCTTGCCTGTCCAGAGGATGGGAGGGCCTCGGCCTCCTGTCACCTGCCACCCTGCCTGGGGCCCCCTGGTCTCAGTCTGCCTCCCTTCTGCTCCCATTGCCGTCCTGACATCCCCGGAACTCCAGTCCAGATGGCATGACCCCCGGGGGCAGGCCAGGCCTTGGCCATGGTAGCCGCTGCCCAGAGGAAGAAGGGAGAGGCAGTCAAGCAGCTGGTCCCCAGCCCTGCAGCCCCTGGCCCTGGCCGGGCAGAGGAAAATGAAGCATGATTTGGAGTCCCTCTCGATAACCTCAAGGGCCGATTCCACCACGTCTATCTGGGATCCAGGGTGCTTCCCATCCACCCCAGAAGCCTTGGTTTCAGGCTTCACTGAACCCGTCTTCCTGTGTAGAATGGAGCAGAGACTAGCCTACCCACAAGGCTCTGGAGGGTAGGGATGGTCAGACTGGCCCAGCCCAGGAGGGGTGGAGAAGGGGCACGCCCCCCAGTAACACCGCACTGAGATTAAGGCCCCACCCAGTGGCCCCACACCCAGGTCCCCATGCCCTACCTGGTCTTGGGAGTCACCCGAGGGCATGGGGAAGGAGGCTGTGGGCCCCTAGCCTCCTGCCCGCCCCGCCTTCTCCCCAAGAACCACGGCCAACAGGTACAAAGCCCCTGCCATCAGAGGTCCGGAAGTGCTGTCCGGGGAGGGTGGCGGGAAGGTCCATAGAGCCCCAGG